TTTGTAAGGCTGACCCACAAGAGAAGATTCTTGGTTCTCATGAGGAGACTTCTCTAAGTACTCTGAAAAAATGTGTGCACTCATAATACAGGGCTGCCTGTGGCTGGGGGTGCCTCATAGCATCATGGTTGTGGTACTGTCTCTCTCTCTCTCTGTCTCTCTCTGTCTCTCTCTATCCTATGATCTCTCTTGCTCATAGAAGAAATAAATAAATAAATAAATATAAAATTAATTTTTGTGCTAGTGGACATGTGTGCTTGCTGGAGAGACAGAAAGACAGAGAGACAGAGAGAGAGAGGGAGAGAGGGAGAGAGAGAGTGAGAAGTCGCCCCTCCAATGACGCATGGTCACACCACAGCCACAGTTCCTTCTCTTCTATTTCTCTATCCACGCACATGTGTCTGGCATGATTTTCAAGCCATTGGGGTTGGGATTCAAACCATTTTTGACTATGTGGGGTCTGACACTTTACTAGGTCACTGGCACACCCAAGATACAAATATAAAAATATGCACTTTATATCTATTTTGTTGAGTTAAATCATTTAGATCCAAAATTAATGGTTAAATAAATTAATGTAGCTTCTGCAAATAAACTATTTACAGACATAGTGTGACAAAGTTCTGGATATTTGTATTAGAATTTAAAGATCACTGTAAATAACTCTCCATGAAAACAGATTTATTAACAAACGCAGTTGTGATTTTATATTTATATTTGTCTTCTTTGTACACAACTTTATCTTTATCATGTATACTTTTGTAGTCATTCCAAAATGCTTTTAAAGCTATCCAACAACTCATAAATTAAAAAATAATCTTCATAAAAAATTTATAGATTAAAAAAAGGAGAGAATATTTCAATAGTAATCATGTGCTTTTTGTGTTTTGGAACAAATTTAATTCAGATAAGGTTATTTTACTGTTGATAGTCTCTGTAAATTTTTTTTTAATAAGAATGTTTTTATATATATTTAAATGTTTACAGATTAATGCCATTTAGAGAACTTGTAGAAGATTCTTACCTGATTGCTCTGTAAAATTTCTCTGAAAATTTTATCTAGTTGATGTTCAGATCCCTTATCAATGCATAGAAAGCTATGATTAAAATCACTGGTGGACCAGGCAGTGGTTCAGTGGTAACATAAGGGACACATATTTAAAAAGTCCTGGGTTTGCATCCTGAGACCTTCCTGAGCATATTGGGCACCATGCATTTGTGCCTGTGAGGCAGACCGCCTGAGGCACGGATGGATTGTGGCAGAAAGACCCTGTTGGAGGTACTAGGCTCAGTCTGGCTCATTCAAGGAAGAAAATTAAATATATTTTAAAAACTATTAAAAGATGAACTTTATTAACATTCATAAATTGCGTCTCTTTTAGCTTCTTCTAATTAGAAGTTATACTTTTTTTCTATTGCACATGATTTGCATATTTTGTGAAAAATAAAATAAATAACTGTCACTGAGCATAAAAATGCACCACTGAATTATCGGAGCACTACTCTCATTTTTAGTCTCAGAGGTGAATGGATAGAAAGCAGACCCATGTATTGACAATAATAAAAACTCATACTTAATTTACTTACTCTTCCAGATATAGTCTTTGAGATGTGGACCTTGCCGTGGGCAGGTGGGAAGGGCTAGAGAACAGAGGCCTCTCCTAGGACAGTGCTCCTCTCCATCCTTCATGTGTACTTCTTCCTGAGAAGTTCCTCTATTTGGTTTACATAGTGAGATTCTAGATCTGGTTTTATTGGAAAAATTAGATTTTAGATCACAAAACAAAATGATTAAATAAACTGATATTTATGCTTGGAAACTTTAATGAAAAACATAGTGACTAAAACCTTAGCAAGAAAATTAGCTTTCTATTAACACCTAACGATGCTTCATAAATGATAGGATTTCCTACTTTATTCTCTAATTGTCATGGCCTTATTTGCACAATTTCAGAGCATGGAGATCTTCTCTTCTCCAGGGCCCTCAAATACCATTTATTTAGTTTAAGAGAATACTTATAGAAGATTATTGAGTAACCATTGTTTTCTTCAATCTCTTTATGAAGCTTCAGACTCACCCTGTGTGGCTAGTTATTTCGTTTATTTATTCAACTTACTCAACAAAGATTTATTGAATTCTTAAGACTTTGCAAGTATTTTCTAGAAACTGGAAATATAGCATAGAGCAAAACAGTGTGTTCTGCTGCTAGGATCTCTACCTGGATGTCCTGCAGTCACTTCAAAGACTACTTGTTTGAGTATTCCTATTCATCCTTATATGAGTAGTAGTTTCATCAATTAACCAAGCATCAGCTTGAATCATGCAATCAGTTAATATCATCCCTAAAAAAAAGAGAAAATCCCTCAAAGATTTAATGGGGCAACATGGTAAGATTATATACATATTTATATATAAATACACGAGATCTCTTTATTGAGGTCCAGTCTGGCCTCATGATCCTCCTGCCCCAAGTTTCACAGTAGCAGGAGTTATAAGCACTGGCGACCATGCCAGGCCCCAGACTTGCACTCTTAAAGAGATGGTTTCTGGAAATGGTAATGGCCGGGACATACTTGAATCCATCCAATCTGTGTACAAAGGCTGATGAAATAACTAGGAAGGCTGAGCCAGTGACACTTACACAGTATCTACAGAAAAACAAGACTATAAGACATCCCTACAGACTCCAATAAACCAGCAGGCAAACACATACGTGTCAACATCTACATGACCCGTGCATTGTCAGCCTCTCAATGGGAGGCGATTGAAAAAAGGAACTGAAATTCTAATAGCCTTGAGAAATTTTCCATAGATACACACTGGAAAGATTGGGGGCTTCACCTGATGAGAAGAGCAGCTGAATTCATTGTCACCAATTCACAGGGGGTTACAAAGGGCAGTGATGTGACAAGACATGACAGTGATGGAGCAATCTGGGCCCTATGAAATATTGAAACTAATAAGACACAGCCCATGCCAAGGAGAAACTGCTGGGAATTGAATTTAAAATGAAAAGAGAAAAGAAATA